ACACACACACACACACACACACACACACACACTCCCTGTTTCTGTCAGTACACCTATTCCTTTGTTTTCATCGTTTAACTTGATTTTACAGCCAGATTTTTCCGGATTAAGAGATCCGGAATAGAAAGCGTCTTGCCATAACATTTTTTTTTTAGAGATGGAGAAAGAAGATGTAATGTATTATTTTTACACACAAGATCAAAACATCCCATCTCAAGAATGCTTTAAAGCCAAATAAAAATGACCGAACGCAACAGTATTGTTTTGAAATAATTTATTCAGTTATACAAATACAAAACACCTCTCACTCAATTATCATAAAATAGGTAGGTATTGGCGGTGTTTACCAAATCCTCTCTGTGTCAATGTTGTCAACATGGATCACCCATTAACAGAAACTCACAGGAGTTTGCATTAAAATGCAGATGTTTCAACCCTACAGTACGCAAACAGTAATTCCATTGCTACATTAAAAATAGAACAAAATCAGATACTGCGAGGTTCTCATTTTCAACAAGCAACAAACAGCTGACATACGTGGAAAATAATCCAGTTTGATCTAGCACTGCAGGTCAATGCCTTAAGTTATACAAGTTTCACTGTGATCACAAACAGGTTGTGTCAATAGCAACATAAACAATTGGTCTTCCTTGACTTCTGTACACTACCTCATTCTGCACTCCAATGCCAGAAAAGGAACTGACGATACGCTTGACAGAATGAAATTCAAGTTATATTTATTAAAACTGGTTTCTTCCAATCTGAAAAACTACACATAAAGGGGAAAGAAAACAGGCGGTTGACAAACAATGAGGGCGGGAGAGGGTTTAAAAGCTTCATGTGTAGACATCATTCTTGCATGTCCTCTTGTCTTGTGCTTTGGCCTTTAAAAGGGGAAATGCATCACACAAGTAGCATTTGGCTGGATGTACCCTTGAGAGCAATAGCTTGATTAAAAAGGTACATGTTTTAAATTGACCTAAAACCATAAGGAGGCGTTGTATTTTAGTCGATATAACTTTACTGAAAAGAAACAAAAATGCTTTCTGAAGTCTCTTGTTCCGTTGCGTGCCTCGGCCGGGTCCTCGTCTCTGGGCTGTGAAATGACAGTACATCTTCTCCTGCTATGCCGATGTATCCGTCCAAAGTCTTTCTGCAGTAGCTCATTAAAATAAGACGGGTTCAATTTATTTCAGCTCTCCGAGGCAGCCTTGGTCTGCATCAGACTGATCCACTGCCCAACGAAGAGAGGCTCATGGGAGTTCTATCACACTGGAGACATGGTGGGCCTTCAGACGAGCTCCAGCACCTGTGAGGAGAGAAGATATATCCGTTTTGTTATCTGCAGCTCACTGTTACTGGAAAGCAAGATGAACGCAGTCCTTGGGTAACAATGAATGCGCCATATGGAAGTCAATTTATACACAGACTAGGTTAAGACACACTGCTGAAAGATGTCTTATCCGTATACTACATAGACTGGACATGTAACCCCAGCACACAGTGAAACTTTAATACATGACTTTAAAATACATTATTTTCCACTGCAAATTACGACCATTATAGGTAAAATAAATTAATAATAATAAATACAGAACCAGTGGAGGAGAGGTTATAATCAGAGAAACACAAGTTGCACATTTAGAAAAATAATCTGAATTTCAGGATGATTTGAGTTGCAGAATTACGTGGGGAAAAAGCTGAACAGAAGAAAGAAATTGACGTTAATGTTAATCTCGGCTGTGAATTGAAAGAAAAAAAAAAACATATTTTTCTAACACTTTCCTTGTGGTATTTGTTTCAGTCATGCAGATCAGTTATTATTATCAAAAAAGTAGCTAGTTTTCTGTTAATTTACTGATGGATCTCAAACTAAGCATGAGTTTTTTATTAAAATCGCCCGACGATAAAGTTGGACTGTAGTTAAAAGCATGATTTATGTATATTTCAAAACACAAACCTTGATGGTTCCTTGACTGTTTGCAGCAATCAGTACATTTGACTCCTAAAAAAGAAAGCATCATTGTTAAAACCTTATCAGTTACTCATGGATATTTATTCACTTACAGGACAAAATCAAACAAAAACAAACAAAATGTGTTGACACCACAAGAGATTTGCATTAACGTGATCTGTTCAGGAAGAGCCGACAGCAGTCTTTATTCTAGAACAGAATATGTAAAAAGAACAGAGTAATGAGGTGAACTCACTCCGTCGGGCAGAGCTCTCCAGCAGACAGCACTGACAAACTCATTGGTGTCGTCTTCCTTCTTGTCTTTGTCCAGAACGCTCTTCACCGTGTCAAACTTGAATGTTAACAGTGTCTTGGAAAGGCCTTTGTAGTACAGGTACAGGGAGTTGTTTTCACTGCCTGTACACACAAATAAATAAAAAGGTTACATTGTGATTGTTATTATATCATTTTTAGTTTTGTCACAGGTTGCCAACATGGCCAAGAGTAATAAATATTCAAAACTTTCAGATTTGGTCCTAGAATTTCTTGCAGTAATGCCGCTTCATGGCTGAGCAAATATCAAGGAAATGCTGCATCACAAATACATCTCTTGTTTATCGATGCCTTTTTATTTATTTTTTTAAAGCAAATGACTATTAATATCTTACATTGCAAGTTTGATTCTTGTATTTTATTACTGTATTTAAAGGTGACCTATCATGCAAAATGCACTTTTGTACGTCTTTGATACATGAATATGTGTCCCCGGTGTTCCAGGGAACTCACCAAGTGTCAGAAAACACAACCCTCTCTATTTTCCTCCGTACCCAAATCTCTTAAAAAGGGGCTGCAACGGATCTGATACAGACTGATCCAGATTTGAACACTTCTATGACGTCACAGAAGTGGCACTACGGCTATTGGGCCAACTCCACCAATCAGGAGGAGACAGCCACGGAAATTGCCGTTCCAAAGCGCTGGAGACGCTGTAGTACATATGCCAGGCCTGTAGATGGTGCTGTTCTC